GAATTTGTAACAACACTTAATTGAGCATTTGTTCAAGGCAACCCTATTTGCTTGTGGGACTACTCTGTTCCTTGAACTTGCTGTAAAATTGTTCATTTAAGAACTGAGATTGTGTGTTCAGTGGCAGCTTTGTAACCAGTCCTTACTTGAGCCCAAAAAATATGTTATTTACCTTTTGGTTTATATGGAGTATTACTTGTGGATTCAAGTACAAGAAATCCAATACTACATCACATCAAGAGAAAGAAAGTGAAGTGTATGCTCACATATTAGTAACCCAAAATTTTGTCCAATAATTTCTCATTGTAAAGGAATATGCATTACTAAAGCATACAGCTTTCTGGTATAGTAGCTTGGCTATTCCCCATTTTCCCACCTTTTCTAGTGAACACTATGTAGAAAATGTTCTCCAATGACATCCTCTTTAAAATGATGCACTTGCTTGTGTTTCTTTTTTGTCATTGCACAAAGATTGATAAATTTTCAGTTGTTAATGTAGGTTTTGAAAAGAAAAGATACAACAGATGAACATAAATTTGTGGATCATCTATCTCAGGTAACTTTTCTCAAAGAATAGAATTGCCAAGTATTCTTCCTAATCAAGAGGAAAGCTAATATGTTGTTATTGACAGGGGAATCCTCATTGTTTGTAGTCTCTCTTATATTTTTGGAGTCTCATTTGGTAAAGTTATCGTAATAGAACTTCTAGTGGCCAACTGTCTAGACCCAGTCTAGGATCCTAATGCTTCAGTTCATCAAGTGGACTCATTTGAATGGATCAATCAGTTATACCTATCACCAGTAGATGGCCTGGTATTATGCATTTTTATTAGATTCTTTCTTATTGGTCATCGAAAGTTGGATCTAATGATTCTGGATGGATCTCATTGCTTGTAGATATGCGCTGCAGCAGTCAGAGAATCTTTAGTTAATGTAAGTTGTATTCCACATCTTCTGCTGATTCTGCAGTGAACTTGCATTCCTTCTTGTAGTTCATCAGCTTGAGCAAGTAAAGTAGTTGATCCACTTGCTAATGTGTTTCTGCCCTCTTACTCACATGGAAGCAGGTTTATGGAGATAATTTTGATTGTTTTGTGGAGAATTTTGAGAAATCATTCAGGAGCACCTTGATGACTTTGCATGTAATCAATAAATCTACTAAAGCTAAAGGAACAGATAAGGGAAAAGCTGAGATATGCTCCTCAGAAGTCATGACAGTCTCTTCTGCCAACAGAGCTGGCAATTGTGGATGTGATTTGGGAGTCAAAGAATGCCTTTCAGATCCACTTCTTGCTGCCTGCAGTCATGAACAACCAAACATTCATGAAGAGATAGCAGAAAATACAACGATTGATCCAAGGAATAACAGTCTTACTGTGCATGATCAACAAATAACGCGGAATATGGCCTTCATCACTCCAAGCAGAAGCTCAAGTGGTTATAATAGCCAATCAGTTCTTAGCACCTTCGAGAAATCCATTATTGAGCAAGTTCGATCTAATGATCTCAAGGAATTTGAGATGGGACTTACTGTGAAAAAATTGCAACTTAAGGAAAGACAACTAGCTCTCAGTTCTCATGCAAACTTTTTAGAAAGGTCTAAATTGGCATTTGGCTTTTCTAAGGCTTCCTTCAAGGTTGAAAAGTTCAAAACTCAGTTAGGAGATGTAAGACATGCTGAGCTGCTTAGAAAGTGCATAGACTGTCTTGTTGTTGGTCTCTTTGTCATGTTAGGCTGTGCAGGATATGGAGTTTTTGTTTATTCCCACAAAAGAATTTCTGAGGCTACAGCATCTTGCTCACGTCTGGAGGTATGGAATGTTTTCATTGATTCTTTGATTCAACCAGTAATTGTTGATTAATCTCTCTATACTTTTCACTGTTTCTCTTTGCCATATTTGGGAATATGTCTGTTTAATAATGCAATACAGAATTGTTTTTTGCCAAATATAAAAACTTAATCTGAAGATGGAAGATCTTGTAATGGCACTGTAATTTACTGATAACCCCTCGCCTCCACACAGACACCCACCCCCAACCAAAAGCCAAAAATGCTGCCTAAAATTGGACTAGGTATATCTATCTCTTGCCATCTTCATGTTGTGCATATATCACGGTAATGATGCTATAAGTTGTTATATTGATGTTTTACAACTGACGTTTCAAACTTTATGAGCGCCATTATTGAATTTTAGAGTACCTTAGTATATGCAGTACAAGCATATCTAAGTGTTTCACTACATATGCTTATGTTTAGTCATGTCCCCACTTTCCTTTGGATTTTGTCCATGCTAATTTCCTTTTAGGTCTGGTGAAAATACTGTGGGAATGCCTTCATGAGAATGCACACTCTAGGACTTGCTTTGCCTATTTCTGCAAATGATTTAATTAGCTAGGACCAGAAAAATAATTGGAGTATCTCATGCCAAATTTAAGACGATAAGCTACAAGAAGCGAAGGAGGAAAAGAAAGAGAACAATGGGGTAGAATGATTTGGTGGAAAACGTAGTTTTATGAACATCATTGTGGTACAATGTAGTGATCTTCCTCTAGTATATACCCAGAGAAAGCTATATGATGGCAACATGCAATGCAATCCCATACTACCGGACCTTTTAAGTTTGGTTGCTAAATCTCAAAGTATTCACTAAGTTGATCCCTCTTACATTGTGGAATGTGTCTTACAAAGACGCTGTCAAGAGAACAGCTATGGTGGACAGGAGCATAAAACCTTTTATGAGTGTATAAGCCTTCCAAACATGAGTCAAGTCTTTGTTGCCTGGTCTTTCATTGGTTCATTTGTGCAACAGTTACATTTTCATTTTGTCGATTGCATGGTACTTAGGGTTTCATTTGGACCCCATTCTTAAGAACTCTGGACTTTGTCCCAATGTATCTCGCAAGCTCATATAAATAGGCAAATTAACAGCATAAACCCGTTAATTATCCAATGAAAGAGCAAACAATCTTAAACGAGTATAGAGCTGAAGTTATTCATTGAAATATAGAGTTTGTAAACTACATTTGACAATATTTTCTTTTGTCTAAAAGAAGTTTCATCGATTGGACATTCTCCATTACCACAGTTTTCCTTTTTATGAACTGGGGAGTTCATGAAGATCACTGATCTGTGCATGCAATGGCTCCATAAATCATGATCTACAAAAATTATGCCTAAATTGGAAAGAGAGTAGCCCAAGGGAAGAAAGACTTTCTTTACTATCTTGTTATATTGTCCATTGGAATTGCACAGAGCTCCCACCAGCATACCTTAAGAGAATTATTTATTGCAGAATCTGGAGAAGGTATTATTGGACCAGATATGAAGTCATTGTTTATGCCTTATAGATGCTTCAATAGTTGCCATCATGCATGAACCTATTTACTAAAATTGATGCTCCCGATCATTCAGGCTAGCTGTTTATGCATCTATGAGCCTCCATTCTGCATTCTGTGCGCTGCATAAAGATTTTCTGTTTGAACCTCTATACTCTTTTTGCTCCAGGAATCCAAGTCTTGGTGGATGCCAAAGTCAATGGCATCTTTTAACTCAGGAATGCAGATTCTAAAGTGTCAGTTTCAAGTCGTAACCCGAATGTTGGCTGGTGGTTTCATGGTCCTTGCAATTGCCTATTTGCTTCTTCAGAGATCCGCAACATCAAATCAAGCAATGCCAGTCACTTTCATCGTTTTGTTATTAGCAGTTGCCTGCGGTTTTGCGGGAAAGCTATGCATCGACACATTAGGGGGCAGTGGAAACCATTGGCTAGTTTACTGGGAGGTTCTGTGCTCATTGCACTTTCTTTCAAACCTTTGGACCTCAATGTTGTTCGCTATTCTTCACGGGCCGATTAATGTGTCAGAGGGAACCAAGAACAATCCGCGTTTTCCATATTGGTTGAGAAGATGTCTATTCTATAGTACTGTTTCTCTGTTTCTCCCATTGTTATGTGGATTTTTACCTTTTGCAAGCCTTGATGAATGGAAAGACCACTTCTCTTCACTACTGATGGATAGTGAGGATTGATTTTGGACTGATGACTTCTATATGCAGACTAGCTGCACAGTGTAGTAATGCTTGTTGTATGTATTTATGTACTATAGTCTACATTACCAGGGTTCCATTTTTCTGTGAATCATAGCCTTTTCTACAATGATGTTCAAGCAATAGTTGGCTTGCAGATGTCTGATAAATGGGCCCTAATGTAAACTTAGTTCCTCATTTGTAGCGTTAAATTGCATCAATTTTCAGCCTTTTGTTTGCAACACTAGTATTGTACTGCTTCGGTGGAGTTGAATATAGAAGAATATGATATATATATATATATATATATGCCCTATCAATTGCACGTAAATAGTAATAATGTTACCTTACATGTAAAATTTGAAATTTAAATTCAAATTGAGATGATTAACTTGTGTATACTTTGTTAATGTGAGAAAGATTTATTATTATTTTCTTTATTAAGGGAATTTTTGAATTCCTTTTTGGAACAACACATAATCCTTTTGGTGATAATGAAATTCAAAGCAAATCCCAGCCTTCCCAACTAAGAAACAGTTTCTGCAGATTCTCAATGATGACTGTTGGCCGACAAGCCAGCATCTCTAAAGCTAAAGCTCGGCAGATACTTGTTTGGACAGCAATTTTCAAAAGAAAAATTACTACGTTTTACATGAATACGTTTCTCAATTATCTTTTTACTTCACATATATCAAATCGTTACAATAATTTTTTACAAAAAATCTAACAAAATGCAATCCAAACATGAAAAAGTACCAAATGTGCTATTTAGGCTTCTCCCGCCGATTAAATGTCACCACCTCACAATAATTTCCCTACCCATACCCGCAATAATTTCACGGATCCGGGCCAGGTCCGGATCTAGACCCGGACTGTTGACAGGCCTAATTGCTTGCCACTTGACTTGGAAAGACATAGTACCAAATTTGCTATTTCAAACCAGTAAAAAAAGAAAAAAAAAAAGTATGACCAGAAATTACGGCAGAAACCAGCAATGGATAATCGAAAGAGTAAACCGCAAAGCAACAAGCAATTGCAGCATGTAAAATTGTAACAGATTCAAAATTGAGAGGCTTTAATAATATCCCGTATGATACAAATCAAGGTTGGACCCTTCTCTTCTTCTATACTTCTCTCTATTTCCCAATATGGTCAAAACTCCAGGCTTACATTTCTGAGGGCAACGAGATTTTGAGTCCCTCCATATTACGAGCAACGTATTGTTTATAGCAACTAGACTTCTCTGGCAATTCTCGAGTAATAGCCGACATGCTCAAGCATAGTTGTCTGCCATCTCTTCACACCTACTGGTCCTTCATCCTTGGCAATTCATCATAACACTTTATGAGCCTTCCCGTAGTACCTGTTTATGAATGGAGCCTGTACCAAAGAAAGGATGTTAGATTCTCTCCTCATGATGCCACTGCACAACACAACGTTCAAGACATCTACTTATATGTTAATTTGTATATAATACCAAATACTGTATTTAAAAAAACCAAAACAAAACAAAACAAAACAAAGATTCCATAAAACAGTGTCTCAATCTGTTGAATTATAGCCTGTCCCAAAAAAGAGAAGCACAAAAGGTTCTCCAAATAATCAAATGATGAGGTGCACAAACATGCAGGAAAAGTGTCGGCATGTTCTTGGGAGTGGCTTACACTATGCGGGTGGAAAAGTGTCGGCATGTTCTTGGAAGTGGCTTACACTATGCGGGCGGTTATTATATAAAGTTTTATCATGTGATATTTGAAATTAACTCTATCAGGCAGGAGACAAATGTAAGATAACACTAATGATTAAATAACCCTGAACAGCAACCTGTCTGGGCAGCCAAACTGACTCCAGTTCTGGAGGATAAAGTTTAGCTCATATGGCACGAGCAAATGGCCTCCACTGGCATCTAACAGAACACTATTCCTTTAATCATGCTAGCATTTCCAACATATCAATGCCAGGGCTTCAGTTTAAGCTATGTTTAACCAACAATCAGTAATGCATTAGAGAACATACTACATAAACTGAGCGAGAAAAGTCGCCGCTTTTTCACATATTTACCTTGACACTTGATACATCAGGTGAATCAGGAGTAGTGACTGGATAGAATTTGTAGAATTTCATACTCTCAAGTGCAGCCTTTGTTTCATCACTCATTTCTTCAATTGCTTTTCTCCTGGCTTCCCTTGCCTACAAGAAATTATGCAACACCATTACTCATAGTGTATGAATCTAGATATTCATGAAATAATATGATCAGAAGCATCATAGGGTACCTCACGATTGGCCTTCTTGGCTTCTCGTACTTTCTCCTTCACAAATTCCTAACAAAGAGAGACTACATATTTTTACTACAATGATATGTACAAAAATTACAAATTAATTGCACGTCACCAGAAAAAGTCACCTTGAAGGCATCCTTTTTGTCAGCAGGCAATTGATCTTCCTCAATAAATTTGTCCGTGAACTCCTACACGTATTCAATTTAAACTAGTCAAAGGTAGGATACTTTCCTGCAAGTTGTTGGTTGGTATATGCTTTTGAACAAAATTACTAACACTGAATCTACTAAATCTACTACGTTTTACAGCACAGAGAGAGAGAGAGAGAGGTAGACAGTTAAGCACACACAGAGACATTACAGACATGCAAGAGGGAAGACGATATCCTGACGCACCGCAAGTGCAGCTTACTGAAATGGGGTGAAGGATGGAGAGTGTGGAAGGAGCGATGGCTCAGAAAGGTGGATAGGGTGAAAGGCTGAAAGTAGAGTAGAGCAGAGAGACTGAAGGAGAGAAGACAGTGGTGGATGGAACTCTACTTTTATTTCTATTCCCAATTTTTTTGGCCTTCCTGTCTTAGTCTTATGTAGAATAACATATCCATTCAATGAAACAGCCTCTAAAAGATGCTCAAGTGTATTCACATAGTACAATCAAACACATACGAATCTAATCTCCCCAACACCCCCAACATAATTCACTCAAAACAAATATGCTGATCCTGATCATACTACAATACACTACTGAAAGCAAGCAGAGAGACAGTGTCAAGGCATACCTCAAGTTCATCAAGCTCCCAATCAAACTCGCAGACTATCTGTACAGAGAAAGGATTAGAACTTAAAGTCAGACTAGGCATAGCTTCAACAATGTTCTAACGGTCTACATCTAGCAAGTTCGTATCTCATAACACCAATGTAGTGTGTATATAAACCACCTGCCATCAAATTTGATGATCATCTACACAGAGTCAACTCAGAACTTAATGTTATGAAATCTCAAAACCATTAATTAATTACATGAAAGGAAAATCATACCGGTGGTTCTGTATCAGGAAATAAAATGTCCACATCTGTTTTGTTCTCAAATTCGTCTTCCCTCAGCGGCTGATAGAAGTCTGCAATGAACTAGAATGTCAAATATATGCTGAAAATAGAGGACAATGATTATAAAATTTTAATCATATCATCTATTCTGACTCATTCATGCAATTGTTCAGAGAGATGCATGTGTGCAATTCAAATTCCCTTACAATGCTTCCCTGCAAAAGACAATGATCAAACTTTGAAACAAGAGAATTAAGCTCCATCGTTACAGTGTGTTGGAAAATTATAAATTCACAAAATGAGATTTTGCTAACGTAATTCTCTTATGTACTTATCGCATGATTTCAAACCTATAGTACTCAAAATCATCCCATGGTACTTCCGGAATACATCCTATGAACTTGTATCCTGAGCCAATGTCAATCACAGTGCTTGTAACACTTCACTCCAATGCATTTCAAGGTATTGATTTATTTTTTCCAATTCCCAAGAAGTTCTATTAATGAGGCAATTATGTGAAATGCAATAAGATAATCCCATCAGGAAGGCAGGATTAATCCAGGAATAGAAACAAAACGAAAAGGATTATAGGATAATTAATTTGACCCCAGAATTCTTACACCTCCAATAACAATTGTTTTAAGGAAATTGAAGTTTTATGCCTACCACCATTCTTACAGAATCCTTCCGATTATCCTGTACAACAAAACACAGGATAACTGTTTTAAAAAGGATTAGGAATTCTCTAAATACTAATCAAATCATAGAAGAGCTAACATTCATTGGTCACATTTTTGTTAATGGGACTAAGTCCTTATATTGAATATAATGAAGAAAAGTGTGCCCAAAACACACTGAGAATGCGGTTTAAGCCTCTAATAGAATTATACCCCATGCAGAGAACCATTTATTAGATAAACCATGCAGAAGTATTTACCAACAATCTACAGTGGTATTTTTTGCTCATAGACCAAAGTCCTTATACTGAATACAACGAAGAAAAGTGCACCCAAAACACACAGAATACATTAGAGGCCTCTAATGCAATATTTCCTATGCAGACAACCGTTTATTAGATAATCCTTGGAGGAACATTCACATTATACCCCATATTTCTGATCACTCTTGATGCTGCTAACTAAGAAACAGTTTTGTACAGAGACTTGACAAAAAGGTTATTCTTGGTCGTAAGACACTTGTTTGAAAGCACATTGACCACTGAGATACCAGTTTATCATGTACTTCCTCAAAGAACAAGGTATCTCTGAAGAAAAGGAGCAACACTAGCTGACTGAGAGGCTTCATCAACGATGATATCCTATTGATGAACAACATACATTTTCAGCGATGATAATAAATAAATGAAGTTCATATAACTATATGCTTATACTATATCATTCTGCAAGCACCAAAAGGAAGAGTAAATACTGATGAAAGGTTAAAAAGCACAAAATCCAAACAAAAGGCACCATATAAAACTTCTCTTTACACAATAAACAAGATCTAATGCAGCATTGAAGGTTTAGATACACTCACAAGGAAGGCAATATTCAAATTTCTTTACACGATCAATCTTCAAATGTTTCAAACCAGCCCTGTGAAAAACAATACCAAAGAGAATTAACCATAACAAGAGCTGGGCCAAGGAAGACAAGAAAAGCAGAGCGAGAGAGAGAGAGAAGAGAACAAAGAGGGGGAAAATCAGCAGATGTTACTAGACCAAAGAGCTAGGACATATCATCCCAAAACATCACTATTGAAATCCATGTACCGCAGATTACAGATATCCTAATATGTAAAGCATATGTTATCCACATTCCCTTAATTCTCAGGCCTCCAGAGGGAACTCAGGATTAACATGAATCCTACCAATCTAAATGGAAAAAGGAAAAACAGAGGGAGGGCAACTGAGAAAGAGATCAAGACTGTTTAAGACATGAAAAGGAACCAAGGAGCAAAAAACAAAAAAATCTACCTTCTCTGTGTACAAGCTAAAATGAATATTTGGGATTTAAGTCTTTCAACTTGAGAGTCCCTACAAAATAATATAAGAGCAGAACCATAAACATATAAGCATCCAGTAAGAAATCTTGTGCAGAAAATAATATAACGAATAACAGGAGATGGTAACTACCTATTTGCAAAAGGAATATAAGGTACCCAATCCATTTTCATCTGCTTCATAGGTAAAATTTCTTCAGACTCCCTCTGTACTGAGGTAATTCCAATTTTGTCAGAGGGTGGAAAAGGAGATACCACCTGTTTGAAGAAATAAGAATAAGACTTAGGAACTCTAGAAAAAGAAATAACTTCTTTCTGCTCTCCAATTTGTCATAATTTAAACAGAACAAAACCTAAATTCACAAAATGAACATGCTTCTGTCTTAAGCACATAAGTGCAATAAATTCACCAGCTAAAGTTTTCTTCTTCTGTTTGACAGCTAAATAAATGTTCTTGTTATATTAAAACACAAAAAGTCCTTAAAGCATAACCACTAAAGCTAGAAGTACCAGTAGTAGACACCTATAAGAATGCCCAAGGAACAAAGCATTCCATTTGATGGAACTGGCAAAATTAAAGCAACATTGTATCCAAGCCTAAGATTGCATTGCTAAAGGAATAACACCTTCAGCTTGATTAAGTGCAAATTTGGTAGTTCGGTGATTACTAGATCAAAAAGTTACATAGTCAACTATTAAAGAAATATTTAAAAAGTCAGTACCCTTGATAAAGAGCAGTTCACATAACAGAATTATATGGACTTACAGCAACCACGACAGGGATCACGACCAGTTTTTGTTGCCCCTGGAAAGATACAAATTGTGCTGCAAGAATAGACAAAGTAGTCAAAGAAGAAGCCCAGAATCAGATGGAGCATTACCTGTAAGCAGTAAAAAGATGATCTGGCAGCTAACTAAGATTGGAATCAAATTTTGCTTCTGTTACATTTTATTCTTGTTTTGCTTTGTCCAGAGGAGTGAGTGGGGACATAATAAGAAGTTCATTATCGAGCATAGTGGGAATCCATATAATGTTATTAGCCTCAACAGTAACATCTGCAGTATATAAATGACGAAACACCTTTGGTTGTTTTCAAGACATAAATGAAAAAGTTAAAAGTACATGAAAAGAGCTCAAGTCTAATTTTCCCTGCCAGCATTGTTTTCTTTTAAGCTGATCAAAGCATAAACTCAGAAAGGCATTCTAAGAAAATACTGGCATTGCATTTAGAGAAAATCAAAGGGGCAAGGGAAATAAGTCCCAGATAGCACTTACGTTCTGTACATCCAAAAAGATATACTTTCTTCCCATGTAACTCCCCACCTTCTTCAAATGCATCCTGTAAAGCATTCCATGAGTACTTTTAGCTAACTTCTAAGCTCTTTTGCACTTTAGCTGATAGTTTTGTTGCAATTAGCAAAGAATGCTAAAGAAAAAAAAAAGGACATACAAATAGTTAATCCAAATAATCAATGTTAGAAAAAGTAGCTCACTTCCAAATTTTGGAAACTCCATTTATACTGGTAAACCAAGTCAAGCTGTTCCCACTGCAATCCATAAGAAAAGCAAAAAATAATAGCACTAATTCGTTAGATATCTTGTTTGGGACCTCTGGAGGCAAAAAAACACAATAAGAAATAGATTCCTTACCTCTGTGCCAACAGGAAACACCTGTTTCCATAGATCTTCCTGCAAAAAATAAAAAAATAAAAAATAAAAAAAACAGTGATGAGGCATTCTTCAAGATGATCTCAACATTTCTCGTAAGCAAAAGTAATTATTTGATGATCATCAGTTCACGTCAAGCAAAGCAACAGCCATATTCATGTCACATTTAGCAAACATCCTCAAATATAGCATAATGGAATAGGAAGCAAATGAAAGAACCAAAAACAGCCAAAGAAAAGGGCTTTGAAGCAACACCATCATATCTGTTAAGCTACAAAGTATGTCCTGTGCTTCCTTTATATATGTCTGTGTAAATACATGCAATTATCATTTTGCCAAGAAAGATATCCAAACATATGCTATCTGTAATGCCGAGATTACCTTTTTTTTTAATTCTCAGGTAAAAATATCATACAAAGTCGAAGTCCATATCATCAAAAAAATACAAATGTGAACGTGCACCTAAGCACAATGAAGAAAAATTAAAAATACTGGAGGGAGTTGAGCTTATTTCCCTACGCTCACATACTTTAAACGAATAAAATCACGAATATCAAAGGAGAACTTCACCTGAAACGCCAGTTACTAAGATCTCGAGAATCAAAATGCAAAAAGAGAAGTTAAAAATCAAGTTGTAAGCAAAAATTCAATCAAAATGCAATACTTATCAAGAATCACAGCACATTATCAAAACAGAAACAGTAAATAATTTCTCATAAGGAATAAGAATTTACCAGATTACGCTTCTCCTCGAAGTACTCAGGCTCATCCTCCTGCTTCGTTATTCTAGCTCGCTTACCTCGTCGCTTCACAGCTTTACTCGGCTCCACCTTCTCCTTTCCCTTCTTCTTCTCTTCAACCGGCTTGGTACTCTGCTCATCCTTCTCCTTTTCCTCGTTCTCCTCCTCAGCCAGCTTGGTACTCGGCTCAGACTTGTTGTTCTCCTCAGTCTGCTCAACTTTACTACTCTCTTCCTCTTCAGCAGCAGCAGCCGCGGATTGGCTCTTCTCAACCACCTCCTCCTTGTTGTTCTCTTCTACGGTGGCTTTACTCGCCTCATTCTCGGCCTCCTCCGGCTTGGATTTAGCGGCTCCGTCTTTGCGGCTCGGCGCCTTTCTCTTAGTGCCCTTCCTCATTTTCCCGTGCGATTGTACCTTTCTTCTATATATCTATGTATATACAATTCTAGAGAGAGAGAGAGAGAGAGCTAGGGTTGGATGGAGCTCTCAAAATTTTGAATTGGAGAGAGGAAAGATGTGATGGCGGAGTGTGGAGGGAGAAAGAAAAAAATTGACCGTACCACTGATTGCTCTGTCATATATAGGTGCGTGAGGTCAACGCGTTGATACGACGCTAAGACGGAGAAGTGATGGTAAAAGATAGTTCCTATAGAACTTTTTGGATATGAGTTTATTTGGATGATTTATTTGAGATAATTTCTATAGTATTTTTTGTGATGCGATATATGTGAAATAAAAAAGTCATTGAAAATATAAAAAAATGATTGGAATTTGTGAAGTAAATTATTTTATTTCAAAACTATGCAGTCCAAACCATAGTTATTAAACTCGGCCCGGAAAGGAGACCGGCGAAGGAGGTGGGTCAACGGGTCACTGGTTCAACCGATGGGTGAGTTGTTGAACCAGTGGGTCACTAAATATATTTAAATATTATATCTTATAAATTTTGATATAGGATATATGATATAAATTGTAATAAATAATGTTATAACAAATATTCATTTAATTTAATTTGCTATAGAATATTTAATTCATATAAGAATCAACAAAACATAAATTTAATTAGTAATCCATCAAACTTCAAGTGTAAAATTTTATATGTTTACTGTAATTATCTAGGTTATTTAATAATTTTAAATGCAAAAAATAATTAAAAACAATATTTGTCTTTAAAATAAATTATGTAATATGTTATTTTTGAAATCTATTTTATAATTTATAGAATATAGGGGTCATAAGTTTTATTAAAATATTCTAAATAAATTTGTTTTGGAGAATTAAAAAAAATAAAGATAAATTAACAAAACGTTCATATAGCATAAGAATGGCTATTAATGAACAAGTGACAAAGTTTGGTGGTGAGCGTTTCGTAAACAATACCAAAGGTCCTGGATTCGACTCCAAGCAAAGGCTTGGAAATACCATTTTTCCTCAAAACCGGTTGCCCCACAAAACCGACCGGGTTTTCGATTTAATCCGGTTGAACCGTCGAGCCGTTGAAAAGTCAATGGTTCATCTGCATAAATGATCTAATTAGAGAACTGGCCCGGTTTAATGTCGGTTCATCGGGTTGATCGGTCAAACCGGCGGACCAGACCGGATTTAATAACTATGATCCAAACACATTCAGTAGGTTTTTCCAAATAATATTTCGCTTGGATAGCAAGTTTTCCAAATAATATTTCGCTTACATCATAAACACATTTTCCAATCCACCTTTTTATATTCCTAACTACCTTTTTATCGTACATACATCACATCATAAAAAAGTATTACAGTAATTATTCCAAATAATATTTCAAATAATACTCTATCCAAACAAACCCAATGTCTCGGTATCAGGTCGGGTTTTGAACCAAATTAATGGAATAAATCAGTTGAATTGTACATTTGCTCTTGAATTAGAGTGCAAATGAGTTGAGTTTGAATAGTTCGCTAGGTTATTTGACCAAACTCGTGCTTGAATTTGGTGACTGAATTTGAACTTGAGTTCGAATTATTTGACAAGCTTGACCTTGTGCTTAGGATGTAAAGTTTGAAATCTTGTCAAGTTTTAATTCAACTTTACATATATACATATATGTATATTTTTTTTAATCTTTTTATTTGTTAGTATGAAATGTTTATATCGTCCCTTGTTTAAAATTATATAAAATGTAAATTTATATTTCTTAAACTAGATTAATCTCATATTAAGTTCGATTGAGTTCGATTTTGCACAAGTTTGAGTAAGACAAAAGAAAAACGAGCTCAACTTTCAAAAACTCGACGAACTTGAATCCGAACTTTTTAACTTAAATCGAGTTTGAGAACCGATTGCATCCCTATTCGGGAGTGATACAATGGAGTGAGAAAAATACTTGTTAAAAAGGACTCATGATTAGAATAGTATAGACTATAAACGCTGTCGATTGTTTTAAAAAATTATAAGTATCTGAAAAGATATTTCTTGTTATTGATAATAGTATTTTATCATATCTATCATATGATTTATGTTATGTAGATAGCTAATTATTCAAAAGAATTTAGCTTGTGACAATTTTTGGATTCAAGTTTGTCTGGATAATCTGTAATTTGAACAACATTATTTGTTTGTATCATAAATATATTTTTTAATTATCTTTGAATAATTTTTTATCTTATATATATTATATCAAAAAAATTCTTACAGTAGTGTTTTTCTAAAAAAAAAAATTTCAAATAAACCACTAGACGGTTTTCACGTTTTTGTAAAGTGGAGTTCCAAATTGCAAACAGTTTGTGACCTGGGCATCACGATCTGGACTTTGTTAAACTTATTAGAATCCGCCCAATAATAGCACATTTCGGAGGCCAGCCAAGTTTCAACAAGAATTAACTAAATTCAGGCTGGCCCAGATTCAAAATGACATTGGCGATTATATATTAATACAACACATGAGCAGTCCATCCTAGCTATAGCAGCCCGGCCCCAATTGGTGCAACTAATCCAATCGATGTGTGTGTTTGTAGTCTTGAATTAATAATGCATTTTGTAGCTTTTTTTTTTTTAAAAAAAACTCTAGATTTTATATAATTAAAAGTAATTTGCCAAGGTAGAATGAATACATCCTATATACGTATTATGATTCAATATCAATGCAGATGACTGATAAATGGTGAGATAAAAACCAACATTGAATTAAAATATAATCACATTTGATGAAACTTATTTGAAGAACTCTGATATTGAGGCATTAATCTTGGTTGTTCCATTGGCATGCATTTTTACAACTAAGTGGAGCTGAAGCTGAAAGTCAAATTCAAACTAAATACTTGGAAGGCATTCAGCATGAATAAAGAAAATTGAAGTCAAAATAGTTTATGGATTATTTTATTATGCAGTGCACGAGATAAAGAGGTGGATACAATCTTTAGTTTTTTTTTTCCAAAATTTTATATTTTTATAGGCAAAAGTTTACATAATTGGAGGTGAATGATAATATCTGAATTTTACGGCTGATAACCTAGCCCTTTTATTTTATATATTTTTGTTTAATTCAGAGCATAAAATAGAAAAATCTATCGCCCATTTAATTATGTTTCAGTTTAAAGTGAGTTAAAAACTAAATGCGTTTAGTTAATTTTTAATTCAGCATTGTCTTTCTTAGAATTATGTTTCGAGTTCAACATCTTACAGATTAGTTAAATTTGAGGTTCAATTTTAACTTTTATCAGCCAATTAACCTTAATTGATAAATGGGATCCTATCAAAGTTTTGAATTGTTTGTGTGTAATTTGATTGGTACTTGGAACAAATTTTGAAACCGAGTGGAGTAGTATATTTTTCATATTTTTAGATGCTAAACTAAAGCAATAACGTGCTAGGGTCGGGTTGGGGCGCCGGGCCTGAGTCGCAGGGAATTAGTCGGCCCCGTAAGGAGTGATCCAGACACCCTTGTGTCGAAAAAAAATAAAATAAAAAAAAATGCTAAACTAAAGCAATACAAAAACGAAGAAAACGTGAGAGGGAAATGACAAACACTAGTACTCTTTTTTGAGGTTAGTGGTCTAACTTGGCTCAGACAATCCGAAGGAACTTTTCTCAACCAATCAAAACATCTCAAAATCAACTCCCACTCCCATCTTCTTACCACGTGTCACTCTACAAACCACACCTCAGTTTCCTCTTCTCCAGCTAAACTCAATTAAAAAAATAAAATAAATAGAAAATATAAATAGTAAGAAAAGGAAAAAAACTCCAGCCACCATTTTCCTCCGCTTCTACTCCACCAAGCCAAAAACAAAACGGTGAGCTCCGCACTTTTCACACACTCACACACTTGCTCCTTTGGATGAAGAGAGTAGGGTTTTAGGAGTAATTTATATCCTCTAATGACGACGATTTCGGCTGCTTTATCTGCTTCGAGATTACCGGAGATTAAATTCTTGTCGCCGGATGCTTCTAGCCAGCGGCGGCGGCGGCTGCTGCGCTTCGCGGTTTATAGAAGGCTGAATTTTGAGTTGGAACGGAGTTTAGGTCGCCGGAGTTGGAGGATTTTAGCGGCGAAGAGGGAAGAAGGAACGGCTGTGGTGGAGGAGAAAGAGAGTGAAATTTTAACTCAGTTGAATGGGAGTTTGAATGGCAACTCCAGTGGAAGTTGTGGTGGGATTAGTGGCTTGGAAGTGGAGGAGTATACGAATGGAAGTGTGAATGGGAGTTTAGTTAAGTATGTGGACGGGAATGGGAATGGAGGAGTGGGGCTGAGGAGTAAAGAGGAGCTGGTGGCAGTGATGGTGGAGGATGAGGAAGAGAAGAGGAAGAGGAATATAGAGGAAATTGGGCGAGAAGAGGCGTGGTTTAAGCAAAGCGAAGACCAGCAAGTTGAGGTATATATGAGTGTTTATACATTCTTCTTTGATTGCTTAGGTAAAAGCTTACTAGGTTCATTTATTGTTTATTGGCGTTCTTGGTTTCTAATGAACAACAGCATTTGAATTCTGTGCTAATTTCTGATCATACTGGAGATATCGAGTAATATTAGCTTATATAAAGTAGGTAAGACTGATGATTCGTAATGGTAGGTTATGTAGGCTGGTCATTTCACATTGAGCATGAAGTATCTTAGGCTGCATGAAAACGTAGGAGATTCATGCGAAAATGAGAAAGCAAAAAAATCTTGCCTCTGTTTCATTTGAAGTAGGCATTGAGGTTGGTTTGATTATTATATCCTGTGGAAAAGATATGGTTAAAGGTGATACTGATAAATAAGAAAATGGTTGGGATCTTAGATACATGAAGAGTAAGATCCTCTAATGGGCTGGTAGTTTGGGTTTTGCAGAGCAAAATAAGTAGGGGAGACTGGAGGTTCTTAAATGTTTCTTGCTGGAAAGAAGAAAAGTGGGTCTTTTTTATGTCATACAGTTACCGTCAAAAATCTTTACAAGTTTATAATGTAATTATAAGTAGTAATTACGTTAAGGAATAAAATGTGCTGATACAGAAAATTTGTTTGCCTCAGAATTGAAAGTTTTTGAACTAGAGAACTTTGAGAAGGGATTTTTGTGGCAAAGTCTTTGGGATCCATTTTTGTTGCAATCTTTTGTAGTTTTATTCATGTATAAATATGACTATAACTTGTTTTGTTTCTATAGTTATTTATAACTATAGTTTATGTGGTATTAAAAGTTTAGACTTATTGTTACCAATGCATCTGAAGATGATACAGGCACTTTTAGTAGCCTTAATGTTGTATGTACACAAAATTCAAAAAAGGGTTTTCCATATTGTTCTTAAAAGTAACTTTCATACTTTGTTGCGTTAATTGATGATGGAACGTAAATATTGGGTCCATCTGCTTTGTATTTGAAATGAAATGTTCAATAACATTGGTTGTCCATGGAAAAGGGGTAGCTAAATGAGATGCATGGAAAGGATGGCATTTCTTTCTTTATTTCTTTTTTTTTTCCCTGTTAAGCTTGACTTCCTATATGATAGGTTAGTTATTATACCGAAGCTTTTTATGTGAATTTTTACATGTATTATTTGTCCTCCTTTATCTTTTGTTAGGCCATGAAGTTTGAAGCTTTTTTTCCCCCTTCTGCAGGTATCTGTTGCTCCTGGGGGTCGATGGAGCAGATTTAAGACATATTCAACGATTCAAAGGACCTTGGAAATATGGGGATTTGTTCTAACTTTTGTATTCAGGGTTTGGTTGAACAACCAAAAATTCTCCTACCGAGGTCAGTTAATGTCTAAAGTGTATGACTGTTTAGCACATAACTAGAAGGCTGATGCATGAGTAGTTTTCTGATTGAACTGAGAATGCCAAAGAAAGGATGAGGGAGAGCCTGACTTGAAATATTCAAGAGCATGGTACCCATTTACAGTAAATAGTAAACTGATAGCTAAGTATGACTCCACTGATTCTGGTTGACCGTTTGGCCTTCAACTTTTTCTCTGTTATTCTTGATCTGCTATAGTTTGTTTCCTTCGAGGATTCTCTGCTATTGTATAAACATCTTTGTTTTGAGTTCATGGAGTAGCCAAGCTTTTGGCTTCTAATTGTATTTATATACTTGAACAATTTACACTTGGATCAGTATTAATGTCAATCAGGAAGACTGTGAGAATGATAGTTTGCTAGCTATTTTGCTGAAATTGACAATTGTGCTCCCATGCTGCCGTAAAATTTACTAACAGATCCCTTTCTGCAATACATTTGTTATCTTTCCTGTCATAATTCTGACAATTTCAAATCAGCATGCAAAGATAAGCCCTAAATTCTGATTTTGATTTCTGTACTTTAGTTTGTATGACTTTAAATACGTTATTCACTTGACAGATATGTGCATGCAGGTGGGATGACAGAGGAAAAGAAAGTTCAGAGGCGAAAGGTCCTTGCTAAGTGGCTGAAGGAAAATATCTTGAGATTAGGACCTACATTTATCAAAGTTGGCCAGCAGTTCTCGACAAGGGTAGACATTCTTGCTCAAGAATATGTTGACCAATTGTCAGAACTTCAGGTCTAATTCTTCCTTTCAATAGCATTCAATTTTCTTCGCATCATTGTATGCTATCGTTTCCTATTATGGAGCACAAAACTTTCTTTTTGGTAAAAAAAAAAATGGTGAAGAATATCCTTTTCTAATTTCCTTGTGTCATTTACAAGCTTCATGAGAATACAATTATTCAATTTGACAATAAATCCAACAGACCAAAACATGCTATGGTTCCAAAATCAAGTTTATTTTCTTGCAATCTGCTTTTTGAAGTTCTTCATCACATGGCTGAGGAAGCCTTGGTCTAGTGGCTGAGGTTGAGGCCCCAAGAATTAGAGGTCATGGGTTCAAATCTTCCCTGTCCCCTCCCTGCTTCTTAAGTCCCACCCTTCCCCTGCTCGAAAATTTTTTTTTTTAAAAAATCTTCATCACATAGGCACCCAGTATGCTCTCTTTTCTACTGCACTCTCTCTCTCTTGTGTTACGAATGAATACCTGCTTTGGAGTTGGTGATTTATTTCTTTTGTGACAAAGGTATCATACCTCTTTAGGCATTTTAAATTAGTTACTATGCTTCTCAATTGCATTATGGTTCAATTACTCTATTCCTTGCGATCACCTGCTTTTGCACCATCTTACTGATTAACAAATTTTAGAAACAAAAAGCACATGTACTTTGTATAATCATATTTACTAAATAATGTTAAATATAAAAAATAATATAAAAGGTTTCTGATATTATGGCAGAATTCTTCCTGGTTTAACAGACAATATTTAATAACTGAATGTCAGTTTAAATTTTCATAGTGCATTTAGATCTTAAATCTACTAGTATTTATGGGTGGAGGAAAATATTACTAGAAGGCAGAATTAAGTATGGATTTGTCATGACTGATGTATTGTCTGCAGAAACTAGCTTGTGACCGATGAATTTTCTTTAATTGATCACTGGTTCCATACGGTTAAGATTATTATCTAAGTAAATGAATTATCAGGGAATAGAAAGTTAGGAAATAAATCAATCACTTATTTTGAGAAGAAGAATAAGGTTTTGTTAGCTTATTTTGGCGTCCTATGCTTAGTCTCTCTTTGTTTTCTGTTTTACCTTTAGAAACTAAAAGCCAACAATTTTCACTCATTTGAAGCAGCATTTTTAAACTAACCAGAGCATGCAACTTCCAAAGTAAGTACTAATTAGCCCATGCCATTTCTAAAGCAACTTGCTGGTTTTCTGTGCAGGATCAAGTTCCTCCTTTTCCATCAGAAACTGCTGTATCTATTGTTGAGGAAGAACTTGGAGCTCCAGTGGATGATATGTTCGACCGATTTGATCGTGAGCCAATTGCTGCTGCTAGTCTTGGTAACATTATCTTCATTAGACAAAGCGGAGTCCAAATATAAGACTTCAGCAACATGTGCTTGTTGTAATCATTGGCTTATCCTTTTTGTATCTCTGCAAAGAGAAGTTATGTACAAAGTAAATTTCTTTTTTCAGGTCAAGTCCATCGTGCAAAAGTGAATGGACAAGAAGTTGTTGTTAAAGTACAAAGGCCTGGACTGAAGGATCTTTTCGATATCGATCTTAAAAATCTGAGGGTTAGTGTAAAAGTCAAAAATTTCATGCATTCAGCTCCTGCAATCATATTTTGTTATGAAGTGCTTTATGTCCCAGCAAAGTGGGAAAGTAATGCACTTGGATCTTTTTGGTCTGACTTTAATTTATATTGGCTTCAACATTCACTTTTCTGCAAGTTTGGAGCTTTAGCATGATTTGGTACAACTATTAACATGTCAAGTATGGAGTCATTGGACAAGTGTTTAGTCATGCTTTTAGGATCGAGTCACAGTAATTGCTTGAAGGGCACAAACTAGAATAGTTAAATAGGCAAATTTACTTGTTAAATTTCTACTCTCATCACTTGATTTCTACAGGTAATTGCAGAATACCTTCAAAAGATTGATCCAAAGTCAGATGGTGCAAAAAGGGACTGGGTTGCCATCTATGATGAGTGTGCAAATGTTTTGTATCAGGTAATAATGTGCTATGGTTGCTACACTTTGTGCATTTGCTGGCATGAATGTAAGTCTAGTAAGTGGTCAAAGACTGCCGGGGGAAGTTTTGGAAAGGGAATATTGGATAAAGTTGTTATTTTATAATAAGACATCGAGGCCACTAGCAGATGTATAAAGGTGTTACAATACTGAACAAGAAAGATAAAACCTTTGCAAAAGTATCTAAAGATGAAAAGAGGGTTTATGCAGGAAACGAAAACCCACCAATATTGCTCTTACAATGGCTGCAGTGACTGGTTATATGAGCCAAATCGAAAAGATCTCTTCTAGGGTACCGTGATTAAGTGTTCTTAAGTTTAAATTATGTGAGTTCTTTTTTCCTGAAATGATCCTACAAATATGTTTGACAGATCCAGAATGGTCCTGAGAGGATATGATTGCTGGTATCCTAATACATGCTGCCTATGCTGGTGTATATTAGATGACATCGGAAACTCTGGTTGTGTTGTGACTTGAGCTAAAGGCAATTCAAAGACAATAAGTTGATTAAACTTATAATTTTCCACTGAATGTGCAGTCAATTAAAACTATTTTAATTTGCTGGATTTTACACCTTGCTGGTTAGCGAGAACTTAAACCTCTCCAAATTTAATGTGGTTACTCCTCTATGTTTGCCTCAAAAAAGTGAGGAAATTTACTTGAGTTTAGGATTTTAGTCTTCCATGTCAGTAATGAGTTCTGCAACTGAGTACATGGAACTAAAAGCGGTCTTGTCCCTTTTGCGGCATTGAACACTGTATACATTTATAACAATGATATATGTTTGTGCTGTATAATAATGGCTGCTTCAACCAGTTCAGTGGTGATGGTGGCTTTGCCTGATTGCAGTGAACTGTTCTATTATAGCCAAGAGTTTTCAATGTTCAAATTTGTAACATCTGGAAAGATCTAAATTTTTTAAGCTTCTGTTTGTACTTCTAATCATCTTTTCCCTTAAATTATTTGGGTTTTGGATTAAGAAATAATTCTCAGTCAAACTTCTACTTTCAGGAAATTGACTATACAAAGGAAGCTGCTAATGCTGAGTTGTTTGCAGCTAACTTTAAGGACATGGATTATGTTAAAGTTCCCAAGATATGTTGGGAGTACACCACTCCACAGGTTTAAACTTTCAGGAATAGTCGAAGTCAGTACATGATTTTCTGTTAAAAGATCACCTTGTTTAGCAGGCCATCTCTTTATTTGCAGGTTCTGACGATGGAATATGTCCCAGGGATAAAAATAAACAGGATACAAGCTTTGGACCAGTTGGGTGTTGATCGCAAAAGGTATGCAATATGGAGTGAAAATCATAGGACCTTTAACTTGAAACATGGCAAGCAGATTTTGACTCCATATGTAATGGATGCTGATCCTCTGTGCATCAGGTTGGGTAGATATGCCGTCGAATCTTACCTTGAACAGATTTTATCTCATGGCTTCTTTCACGCCGACCCTGTAACTTCCTATACACTTCTACTTTTAGCATCATCTATATTTGGTGAAGAATGATTAAGTTATCAATTTCAAATGAAAGAGATATATTGGTTGGAGTGTGCATTTATTAGCCTGAAGCAATAATTGATTATCGTTTATTTATAACTACAGTGAAAATTTGAACTGCTGAAATCTGACACTAGGCTCCAATTCTAGAGTTGGTTTGAAGTAATTTGAATCTTGATCAGAACACTAAATATGATACTTTTGAATTTCTTTTTACTTCTTGATGATATTGCTAAGTTTTGCAGCATCCTGGCAATATTGCTGTAGATGATGTTAATGGTGGAAGGTTGATTTTCTATGACTTTGGAATGATGGGAAGGTATGCTTGTTGTTTTTCACTTCTTAGTTCCTGTCAACTGATGTTTTGTTGTTTGTGGAAGGATGTGCTTTCCTTTCCATCTATATACTTATGTTGGCCTTTTGCAGTATAAGCCCAAATATCAGAGAAGGCTTGTTGGATGTATTTTATGGAGTTTATGAGAAGGATGCGGACAAGGTAAATATTTCTTAATTTTCTGTAATGCTTTCATTTTCTACTTATTGCACTTTGAACCTGGAATTCATGGCTGAGTACGGTTACAAAGTACCATATTAATAACTGAAGATTTGTGTTATGCAGGTCCTTCAAGCAATGATTCAGATGGGTGTTCTTGTGCCTACTGGAGACGTGACTGCTGTTAGACGAACTGCACAGTTCTTCCTTAACAGGTACTTCCTGGTTAAAAAAATTCTTGAAGCTCACTTTCAAATTTTGGGTCATCCACTTTAAAACTCCTTTAGGGTGCTCAATTGTAGAATAGTAAGCTATTTAGGGAAATAAATTGTGATGCATTGGTTCACAAAAGTTTTTAAGAAACGTTGTCAGTTTTAAAGAGGAAGCAGTGCAATATAGAAATGGATTCATTTTTAATGATGTTAGTAAATATTTAGGCACACTAAGGATTCCACTCACTTGTTTGATTCCCTAGGTTGCTGCTAGGCATTGCTAGCAAAAACTAGCAGGCACAAGTGAACTAGATGCCTGTTGAAAATTAGCATGTATGCTCTTGTTTCGGGGCTGTATTTACCTCATATGATGGATGTATTTGAATCATAGAGTGGCCTTCAGTGGCCAGACTTCAAAATTCTGCTAACAGAAGTTGTGCATGATAAATGGTTGAGGTCTTTGTTCAACTTCTCCCTGTGGGCTAATAAATGGTTTTGTTTGAAATCTGTAGTGTGTGAGAGACTTCACCACACTTTGGAGAGCTCGGTTTTTGCCTCTTTTCCACCTTAGACAGGAATTAGAATGGAAAGGCTTGAATTAGAAAATTCTGGTTCCAGTTTTACATTTGAAGTACTCATAATAACTAAAGATGAAATGCAAATTTTGTAGCTTTGAAGAACGCCTTGCAGTTTTACATTTGAAGTAATCATAATAACTAAGGATGAAATGTAAATTTTGTAGCTTTGAAGAACGCCTTGCTGCACAGAGAAGAGAACGGGAAATGGCTGCAACAGAACTTGGATTTAAAAAGCCATTGAGCAAGGAGGAGAAAATAGAGAAGAAGAAGCAACGTTTAGCTGCAATAGGTATTTTACTTAGATCATTTTGAAATACTCAAGCTGTTGAATTTTGGACTACTATGGCAGTTTGGCAAGTTGCATTTACAAAGGTGGCTTACAACAAACAGAAAAGGAGGGAAATGGTGTCTGGAAGCTAATTTTATATTTGCTATAGCTTTCAAGATATTATAGAAAGAAATGAAAAATTCATTCTGAAAACCCCTAAGAAAATTTGAGAACGAAAACAAAGAGAGGCAGATAGGGTCTGTCACTCATAGTAACTAGCTTTAAATACTAATTAATGTAAATTTTAAGAATGAAGCTACATTTTAAAGTTTGGGGATTTTGGGAGGTAATCGACTTTTATCTTCTGGTCCTATCAGAATATCTGTTATATATATCAACTGCAGTTAAAAACTTGTCCTTTTCTCTGATTTCGTGGCTGAGAAGTTATTTAAACAGAGATTTTCTTACTCTCACTGTTTAATCATGGGAATGCTTATCCATTACATCTACAGTATACTGATTTTGTATCAATCTATCTTTAAACTTCTGCCAGTTTGCTGTCATTTAATCCTCATGACAGCCAGTTGGCAATTACTAATAACTGTTTTGTTCCTGAACAGGGGAAGATTTATTAGCCATTGCAGCTGATCAACCCTTTAGATTTCCTGCCACATTCACTTTTGTTGTCAGAGCATTTTCAGGTATTGTTTCATTCTTCATTTGTTTGGTTTTCTGATATTTGTAACTATTTCTGGCATTTACCTCAAAGCTCTTTCACAGTGTTGGATGGAATAGGGAAAGGCCTTGATCCTCGATTTGATATCACTGAGATAGCCAAACCGTGAGTTCATGCATGGATGTTCTCCTTGATGTATTAATGACCTATAATAATCATTTGCTTTTGTTTTATCTGAACTTGAATTTCATGACAATCCGTGCAGCTATGCTCTGGAGTTGCTGAGGTTTCGTGAAGCTGGTGTTGAAGTTATCTTGAAGGTGGGTTCCTGCTGACTGTCTTTGTATTTGCTTGACTTTAAGCATCTAACAAGGTCTTGAGACTTAAATGTGGCTATTTTCAGGACTTCAGAAAGAGGTGGGATAGACAATCCCGTGCATTCTACAACTTATTTAGGCAGGCTGATAGAGTTGAAAAGCTGGCTGAAATCATTCAGCGACTGGTAGAGATTACATATTTTCTTGATTTTCCACTTAATTCTGGATGGGTTTAATCTGTCACAAGTGTGAAATTGACATATCATTTAAACATTGGTTGTAGGAGCAAGGAGATTTGAAGCTTCGTGTCAGGGCTTTGGAATCTGAGAGAGCTTTCCAAAGAATTGCTGCTGTCCAGAAGACAATAGGAAGTGTGAGTGTTCTGGTTTACTCTAGTCACTCTTCCAGATTATGTTTAAATCCCTTGCTAAAATTAAGTCTAGTTTACTGGTGGTACTCGGAAAAATATGCATTTTCTTATTGCTATAATTGAAGATTTTCTTTGTTATATTGTGCTACTGTATCTCATGATGTGCTGCAATGTTTATTTTAAATGGTCAAATACATGATATTATGCTAATTTTCTTTCTCATCCTAGCTGGCATGAAATTGCTCCACATCCTAGGAAGAATTCTATGTATAGAAGCAAAACATATTGTCTAGTACTGTACAAATGTGTGTTTTGAAGCTTGTAATTTTGACAAACTATAAGAAAGCGATTGTTGTAACCATTCTGTAGAAAGAAAATTACGTGAATAGAGAATTTTCATTTTTACCCTATAAGTTTGCAATCTCAGAATGTAAACACATTATGGCTGCTGAAACAGAAATTCCCAGAAAAGTAATTCCTGTCATCTTTGGCACTTTTTTACCTCTGTACCTGACTGGAAATTGGACTAAATTCTCTTCAAAATGATCGTAGAGGATCCATCTTTTTTTCCAGTACCCTTGCCAATGTCCTGTCCCTTGTTCTCAAAGGAAAGCCTTATTTTGTAGCCTCCCGCTACAACCAACGGAAAATTCAATAATACACTGAAGCTGGGATAAAGTATTTGGGCCAGGTTGTGAGCTACATAGGCCGAACTTGTATGGCTCAGTGCAGTGTGATATTTTCCTAGCCTGGGTATTAGTCTGGCCTGTCATTGATCTTTTTTTTTTTTTTTAATATGACCTTGTTCTCCTGTCTTATAGCTTATCCGAACTTTTATGGTATATTGATATTACATGACCTGGTAACAGGACATTTTACTATTGTCATAGACCATTTACTTATTGTCAAGACCTTTCTGTTACGCCTTTAAATGTTATGCGCATGGAATCTTAATTTGATATCATTGGTTGATTGTCATTAGATGAACCTGAGAAAATGTTGGCCTCAGACTGGTCATCATAAAGTTAGACTTGGAACTTGGAATTAAGTTGGCTATTAATAGTGAATTTGTTTCTACTAGCTTACAAGTTCTTGGAGTTTCAAATATCTTTCAAACATGTTTGACTGAAATTTTTGGATTTTAGTCATGTTATGCTGAACCCTTCCTGACAAATTGCCTTTCTCGTAAGTGACTTTGTTCCTGTTTTGTGCGATAATCTACTACAGGCAGTTGCTGCTGGAAGCTTAATCAACCTTGCAACAATTCTGTATATCAATTCTATCACTGTAAGTGGTGCATCATTTTGTAGAGAAAATAATATACATTTGGAGTCCGTTTTTGTATAAGCTTCATGTGAATGCATTTTGTTTTTCAGATGCCCGCATCCATAGCATATGCCATCTGTGCATTTTTTGGCTTGCAAGTTCTTATTGGGGTTGTGAAAGTGAAGAAATTAGATCAGCGAGAGAGGTTGATAACTGGAACTGCCTAGACCTTGGTGAGTGGTGTTTTATTTTGTATTCACTCTTCACCTATAGAAAAATAATAAAAGAATATTCACATCATTACTGACAAAAATGCGTTTAAGAAGAGTTATTTGTAAGACTTAATATTAAAAGGATGCAGAATAGCTTTTTATTTGAAGTGATGGACCATGTAAAGAAGGACAAATGAAAGATCCCTCTGGCCCTGGCCCGGCCCTGGAGTGGTTCATTGCGCTATGACTTATGTCCTCAAAGTGATTGAATATCGACAGCCCAAAACATTTGAAAACCATTTTTTAGGATTATTTTCTTTGTGGGTCCAACCCAACGGTCGAGAAGTTTTAGTACTCTTGTCGGAAGTCTTGAACAGAAATAATTGAGAAAAAAAAAACCCAGCTGATTTGACCTTCTGTTTTTTTCTTTTTTGATTCAGCAAGACTAGATTTCTGATGAATACTTAGTTCATTTGAAAACCTAGCAGACAAGCATAAACTCTTTCGACTTCAATAACTAGTGAAGAAAGTTTCAACTATTGGGCCGCTAGAATTGGTCTTTTATTGTATCAAACGTAAAATATATTTCCTGATTTACATCAAGGCTGTGGTTAGAGGTCAGGATATTTTGATTTCTCAGAAACGATGAAGGAAGACTTACAGCTGCCTTTTCTTTTCAGCTTTTTATCTGAAATTACAAACAATTAACTTTTTACATAATGACTGTTCATTTTCATTTTCCAAATCTTGTTCCCACTAGTTCATTCTTAAGACAAGTACTTCTAAATAAGAATGAAGGTAGAGAAGGCATTTCTTTTCTCGAGTTTGTCCTGAAATGATGAGCTATTAGGTTGTATAAGCTTTTCTGGTTTGTATTAGGTATTAGACCTGCTGCTGAGAATCACTTCTGTGGTGATTATATATTATAGATTCAAAGTGAGTTCATCAATAGGGAGACGTCATTTCTGATGAAAGCAACTTCCTCCCATCCTGCAAAACCTGAAGAAGTGCAGAACTGGTAAAATCTATTAAGAATTACCATCACGATATTACGGAAGGAGCTGCTTGGTCGTCCTGGTGGTTGAGGTCCAGGGGCATCCTGCTGGTAAAGGCTTGAGGTCCAGGGTCATCCTACTAACAAGGATCGAGGTCCAGGCAAGTTAACGTGAAGACAATGAGCTTTACACATTTAGTCAAAGTTGTTTTTTATGATAGCTGAAGGCACTTGGCTGAGTTTTCAAACTTCTCAACAAGAATGTCTCCTTAAGCTCGTTTGTGGCAGGCTATAATAACTCTGCTGTCTGACTTCTTGGAGCCCTTGTGTATAGATGTATGTAACTTTGTAGATTTTTTACATCAAAATTGTTAGACCATTGTATAGCATGTGTAATGCATATAGCAATTCTTGTAACTACAACCTCCTCTTAGGAAGTTTTGATCCAATTGTACCCTGTAATGCCATAGACTAAAAAATGTCATTCTTTAGATGACAGAGATTTTTAAGAACTTCAGTTTATGCCATTCAAGTCAGATATATAATGCTTGTGTTTCTATGCTTGGGATTTGTAGAGTTACTATTGACCAGAGTACCAGATTAAGTCTGGTTTTGTAAGAGACAAAGGAAGTATCTATCTTTCGTGTCCCTCTCTCTATCTCCATCTCCTATTCTATTTGGCTTCTTGGATAACACACGTTCGTCCAAGTCATTGAGCTGTACCTGTCCGTAGGTTGGATGTCCATGTGCAGAAGCCAATACTTAATCTGATTTCCGTGTGAAAGTTTGACATCTTCAACCATGATAGCTCATGCTGTCTTGAAGTATGTTTTGTCGTTTCTTCAGCAGTAGCTAATCACATGAAATGAATCTGGCGAAACCAATGGAAGTTGAACACTTGAACTACAAACTAAAAGTTCAAGAAAAAAAAAATCAACGAGGAAAAGACTTGCAGATCTAGCCTGATTAACTATGGTGGGAGCCAGGTTCTAACAGGGAGTGGTGTTTCGAGTCCATTCAATGTACTATAGCAGACATTCTAGTTAGGGGCAATCAATATAATAATCACCTTCACAACATTCAAGAAGTATGTCATAAGAGTAGCAAGATGGACCCATAGAGTTTCCTTGTATTGCTTGTTGAATGAAAAGTTTCCTATATATATATATATAAAGGAGTTATAGTTTGTCTGTTGGGTGATTTTTATCTGATATTTTAAGGGGCAATTTAGAGATTGTATAAGCATCATACAAGTAATCCACCTTACAGTACAAGCGGGCCATGCTCATTGGGATATGAGTTTACTAAAGTGCCCTTTGTGAGATGATGATTACATTCATAAATGGTAGTTATGTGTTGTTAATTAATGATAAAACACAAAGGAAGTGAGGTGAATTGGGGGCAAAGCCATCCTATTGAATTAAATGTGTTTAAGACAATATTAATTGGCCAAAGTAGAAGAACCATTTGAAAACTCTTTGTGAATTGTAACCGTCGGAAATTTTGTGCTCTTCATCGTTAAAGTTTAAGAAACATTAATTGCGTTCTTCCAACAAAACACACTCATTTGAACCGGTAATTGCAGCATGTTGAAGAGCTCATTAAAGTGTGAGAGATTACGAATCATTTAGATAAACATGGTATGACATTTTTGGCTACCATTAATAGTATGCCTTGCCTAAGATAAAAACAAATTATCCAACGTTACCAAATTATTTAACAAAGCCATAGGTATAAACTCCCATGCTTTGCAAGGGCCTTCTCCCTAGTCTTTATTAGTTCAATTACATCATGTGCCAAACCAATTACTGCAGTGACACTTGCTGGAGATCCATGTACTACATATTTCTTGAGAAGTTGCCAAGTTTTAGCTTTTTCTTTTTCTTTATAAGTTTTTTTTAACTCAATACTCTTTCTCTTATCTTTGCACCTTCTAATCTGGCTTGATTTGAATCCTTATCCACCAACGAGATCAGGTGCCTCTCCGGTTGATATCTGTTCATTTTGGTCTATTTTATATAACTCTCACAACTTTTACTGTAAGCTCGTATGGTTTGATGCAATCGTGATTTTTTATTTTAGTTTAGTTTCATGACCTGACAAACTCATTCTCCAAAATTTACACTAAAGTTGTATCAATTTACACCAAATATTATAAAAATTACATAATTAGACAGTAATTCAAACAGAAGAGGCTTTTGATCCGATTAATCTCTTCTTTTGTAATTTTTCCGGGCGAATCACAATATCAGGTAATGCAGCCTTCATTTGCATTGCTTTTATCCGTAATTTTAGTATTCTCAGTTCTTAGTGGAAACAAGAAATTCTATAGATGTGGTCATCTGGCTCTAATCTTTGCCCCAAAAAAAAAAGATCTAAATTCCTACCCAAAGAATCACCAAAGGGCTTGCACAATTTTGACTTTGCATTTGCTTTTGCTAGGCCACAAAAATAGCAGTACAAGGGTATTTGAGATCCATAGATCATCTCTCTCTCTTTTTTTGTTTTTTTTGTTTTGTTGGTGGTTTTGTGATCCCTGGAAGGAATGATTTCGTTAGAGTGCCTGATGAAATCAATTTTCCCTACTTGTTCCTTTCAATTTTACATTTCTATACTTATAGCAGCATATCATTAGCTGCCATGGTTCTCAACAAGATCCTGAGAGCAACCAAGCTTGTAGCTTGAAAGGAAGAATAAATAGTAAATACTATACAGAAGGAGTTTAAAGTAATATAAGCTCTAGGATCGGCAGATAAAACTAATGAATGGGAAAATACTTTTGATTAAATACAATAAATCAAAGCAAGTAAATATTTGACAAAGAATTCAATAGCCATGTAATAAAAACATTACTTTGGCAGTTAAATATTAGTTTTTCTTTTTTAAAATAGGAATGACTGTCTTATAATGTTATATCATGAAATAAGTTCATGATGATGTATATGTCTTTGTTTAGACCGCTCTATAAATCCAATATATGCCTATGAATTCTTGGGAAATTAACTTTTTTTTTTGGTAACATTTAGCTAAATAGCAATGGATCTTCTTCATTCTTCATGAATGGGAGCTTCATTTGCATGTGTTTTAACTTCTTTGGAGTATAGGTACTGAAACTCCTCCTCCGAGTTGAAGTGATCAATAACCAATATGGACGGCACAATCCTTACTAAAATCAATGCTAAGAAAATCAAAATTAAATCTTGATTAAATTGATGGCTCAAGAAGATTTAGATACAGCTACAAATCCATTAAATATCACTTTTGAGTTTTTCTGTTTTTGTTATTAATATCTAAGAACGCTCGCCCAGATCTGCCAGACTGGTGTGTTTTTGCAAGTTTTAAAGAATTCTGATGCTACTCAACAATTCAATTTGGCCTCATAACAAACCTAGAAAAAAAAAAAGGGCAAAATAACCTACTGGATAACCATTTTCCTTGAGTACTGCAATGCAAACAAAATAAAGTGAAGAATATTGAAGATTTCATCTTACGAATTGGCAAAGTTTCTTAAAGACAAGGAAGAAGGAGGAGCACTAGTTGGGCTTCTTTTTTTTTTTTTTTTTGCCTTGAATACTAGTCAAAAGAACTGATCAGGACAAATATATATATATGATGGAAACCAAATCTTCACCTACTTAGGGAAGAGACTGAGTATAGATGTAGTCTTCATTCTCTAAAATTGTATTACTATCTTCTGATCCATTAATCTTGCCTTGTTTGCACTCATGAACACTATTCTCCTTCTCACACTCAGCTTTTACCTGCATCCAACTCATTCAGAAGATAAACAAAAACCCATTAATAATATTCATCTATCTTGGGCTGTTTTACAGACTTTATGCTAACGCAACACTTACTGTATTGGTGGAGCTTGCAGAACCACCTATCACCATCTGATTTGATTCTTCTTTGCCTAGAGTAACAAACAACAAACACAAGAAGATAGCCAGGATAAGAAAGAAAATCACGCTTGTAAGTTTCATGGTATTCAAACAGTAAAGAGAGAGTCTCAAGGAAAGATTTGAACATATGTGACAATGATATATCTGCTGTTTTCTTTGTACTAGCTAGGACAAAGGAGTCAAAAGTCTAGTAGTTGTAGTATTATAGTAACAAAAGAGGACAATCTAAGGATGATTTGATTATGATATCTTGAGCGACTAATCTAATCTTCAAAGGGTTTCGAGCTGTCTTGTGATTCCACAACATGAAGCTCGATCATCAAGATAATGGGTTGGCGTCTTTGGTGTTTTGTAACTAAAATATGGCAATAAACAAACACAGGCACAATGGAAAAGGAAGTGTGTTTTTGGGTGGGGGTGATTTTTTGTTTGGTCCCAAAGATGCTCCACAGAGGTTGAGATCTCGTCTCACACTTTTCTTCTTTTTTTTTTTTTTTTTGTTTTTGATAAAAAGGGCAAACAGAAATTTTATTACTGAGGTTGAGATCTCACAATTTAGAAATTAGTTAGTTAACATCAACATTGCTTGATGGAGTCATATTAGCCCAAGAAAACCCTACATCATGGAGGGCCTTGCCCTCGTTAAGTTTGGGGTATAAATGGGGTCATATTAGTTAGCAGAAGAAATTTCTGGATAATGTAGCTTTTGATGAAATGGTTCAAGAACATTTTTGAAAAACCATATTTTTTTCTTTTCTTTTGGGAATAATTACATACGAAAAAATGTCTAAATATTGATCTATGATAAATACATTCGTATGAAGCTGATTATTTTTGTACACACAAATGAAATTGTGTAAATTGACTTGATGCACACGTAGGAGAAGCCTGCATTCTTGATCCCTGTACATGTGATACTGATTAGGATATCAACCATTGAACATAATTGGATAATTGGACCTTATGATCTAAAAAACCAAGGAAATAATATTGTTATTGAATTTGTCCGATACTTTCACTAGTTTTCTTTTTTTTTTTTAATGATTTTGCCCAATAAATGTAAGGATTATCTCCATCAGACTTTAAACACTACTTTCATTGATTTGGCAATTCAAAATAACGTGTGAGAAACTATCTTGTTTTATGCACTTTTAATGTTCTTATTTTTGAGGTCCTCTACAGTCTAAATGTAGTGTATAATAGACGTGGTTTTGTGCCTTTTGGCCCATATTTTGGATTCGACTAGTTCACGATATGTCTCTAAGACCAACTATTAAAAGATATTGATAAATTAAGGTACAGAAGCCAATGAGAAGAACAAGCCTTCTAATGTGTTAAAGCTGAATTAGTAGTATAAGATACTAAGGGTGTGTTTGATAGAACTGAAGTTTGAAAATTAAAGTCTGAAGTCTTAATTTATTAAATTGTTAAGTACAAAATCTAATACATTTAAGTATATAACACATTAAATGATAAGTAAATAGCCTATCAATTATTTTTTGGATCAAATTTTGTCTAGAAATTTCAGTATAACTTAATTAATTTAGATGTTCTTTTTCTTATTATTAAATGTATATTAACATGTTCGGTTTAGACTATCTTAACAATTTTTTTTTTTGAGGGTAGACTATCTTAACATTAAGTTTCTTGCTGAATT